GTCGTGACTCTGATTTTGGATAGATTCGACACGAGTGGAGGCCGATTCGAGGGGCAAAGGCATCGCGGGCTAGAATTTGGACCGGATTGAGGTGAGTAATGATTGTAAATGTTGTCCTGAGGATATGAAACCCTGGATTGCACATCGTTGTGTTATATTGAGGTGACGCACAAGCTAGATGACGAGCGTGGGGTCGTACACTATTGGGGATTGTGACTTAGTCCATCCAGAATGATTGTTTTACCGCGTATTTGACTGAAAACTATTTGCTATCATCATGTTTTGGGCTAAATATCATATTTGGGCCTCGTGCCAACTATTTGGACCATTAGGGAATTTTTACTAATATTTCCTCACTGTTTTGACTTTATACTTGAACTCAGTCATGCTATATTCTACTGTTTTCATAACTCAACCATGTTTGCTCTACTTAAACACTTAAATGATATTTTAAATGATATTCAGGGCTGAACATCATGTTTTACTGTTGCCCGAGTGGCCTGTGAGATTCTGACTAAGTAAGGCTGATGGCCTATGTTGGTAGGAAACACTGATTATGATTATGAGGCCGAGGGCCTGGGATTTGTACTCCATGAGGTGGCTTGTTGATATGAGGCCGAGAGCCTAGTGATGATGCCACGAGATGGCTTAATATTGTGCTTGGGCCGTAAGGGGCCCCTCCAGGAGTCTGCACACCCCCAGTGAGCACGGGTACCTATTGTGATGTGAGATATAGCCCGAGGAGGTGGTGTTGTTCTATGATATTATCCGAGGGGCGATCCTTTATGTATTTATCTTTCCTTGTTGCTTGTCATTCACCTGCTTAATTGTTAAAAAGTAATTTCATGAAGTTTAAACTGAACTAAAATGACTTTACATATCTTTACGGATTCACTGTTTTTTTTTTGTTTTTACTGCTTCATTATAGCCTGTAGTGTGCCTTACATGATTTTATATTTCTCGGTCTTTATTTATGATTATTACTCATTGAGTTGGAATATTCACTTTACTCCCTACACCCCATGTGCAGATTCAGGCATTGTTGATTCTGCTTGCGAGGGTTGAGAGCTCCCGGCAGATTTCGGAGTTCACGAGGTAGCTGTTCGGCGTCTGCAGCCCCGTGTTTCTCCCCTTCTATCTCATTTCCTTTATCTTATTAGTGATTCTGTAATAGCTTTGTAGACGCTTCAGACTTGTAGTATATTGATAGATGCTCATGACTAGTGACACCCTGATGTCGGGCTGTGTTGGTTTTATTTTCCGCTACTGTATTGTTTCACCTTATTTATTTGGGATATTTATTATGTTTAAGACTTACTTGCATTATCTTAACTGCTTAAAAATGAATTGGAAATGTGTCGGCTGGCCTTGTCTTCACGAAAGGCGCCATCACGACCGGGTTCGGATTTAAGGTCGTGACATTTTGCCTACATTAAACTCTGTATTCACATTTATTTCAAGTATATACACTATGATATTAAGCATCAAATTAAATAATAAGTAACAGAATAAAAATAATTCAAATGTATATACTTGAAATAAACTTCAACAAAAAAATATAATTTGCATAGTACTATACCCATACTAATAAAGCACTACTACTTCAAGAAGTTCACTAGAAATAAACTATTTAAAACCAAATGTATTTATAACAATAACGTCACAATCGTTCAAAAAAATCTTCATCATTCGCGTCAATAGGTCAAATTCATTTGTGGCCACCATTTCCAATTGCATCACCCGCATTTTTATACACATTCAAAATGAAATTAAAATTAGAAAAAAAACTATATATAGTATGCATAGGTTATAGCAACATGTCTTACTAATAATTAATGAGGTTTATTTCACTACTAAAGCATAACTAAGTCACACACAAAAAAAGAGGTGCAAGTCAAAGAGAAGCAAAAAATGTGAATTAATAACCTGCTTACATCCCAATATCTCATAAAGCTTTGCCTAGATTGATAACCCCCAATAGACAGTTGAAAATAGTGATTTTCCGCACAAAACAAAAGTTGTTCATTTTCCTCCCTTCTTAGGACCAGTGGGTATAAGAAAAAAAACTACTTAGAGATTTGGTAGGGATGAGAAATTAATAACACCTCCCTTCCTAGGACCAGTGGGTATAAGGGAAAAAAACTACTGTATGCTAGCATTTTGGCTCCAAAAAGTTGGGATAAAGTTTATGTTTTGGTGGATTTAAACTTATTAAGTACAAAAGGAGATTTGATATTAATTTCTCTATCATGCCAGTGATAAAGTTATTGATCTTTAAGAGGTAAGAGTTTTATTTTTTAGAGTAAAACCTAACGATTTGGACCATTAAACTTCCTGAGGCTTCACCATATATACCCTTTAACAAAGAATCATTCAAGGGAACCTCTTGAACTCATTCTTTACCAAATGGCTAGAACAAAAAGAACAATGACTTTTTGAAGAGTGTCAGCAGCTATGAACCTGTATTTCATTGCATAAGGATTGTTGGAAGCAATGAAGTGAAAAGATAGCAATGAAATAGTAAAAAGAGCAACAAATTTGTTGATCTCTGAACATTGATCTGGGGTGAAGATTTTTCATCATTTTACTGAACTATAAGCTAAGATCATTGCTATATACAGTGAAACTTCAACAGTGATAACATTGTAAAGGTCTGAAAGTGATATCATTTTTTTCTTAACTGATGAAACTCAGCAAAAAGACTCAAAATTTATGGAAAATGAGAGAGGTGATATGATATATTTATGAGAATTAAAAGGAGACAAAGAAGTAAAAGCAAAAGAATAGAGAGTATGATATAATTTATGCTCAAAACATAAGTAAAAGAATCCACTAAGTTAGAAAGTGAGGGTGCTCACTGTTCACTACCCATATTAGAGGTGATAAATGTAGAAAACCAAAAGCTAAGTATCAAAAATTCTTTTTATGAAGAAATAAAAGACATTGTTAAGATATTTTGTAAATTCCAATTAGAATAACACAATTACATGATATGTATGTTAAAGTTAAGATTGTGTATTTATATCATCTGTAAGTCATATTCATGAACTGTTTTTAGTAGTAGTGAGTTGATACTTCTGTAATGACGTTCTAACAAGTCAATATATGAAAAAAGTAAAATACGTTTAAAGTATAGGTTCAAAGACAAAAAATTTATCTCCTTGTATAATCACAACAATCACTTAATTTAATAACAATAGCAATTAAACTCGCTACAAAATAGACATATAACAAGGGCCTTCCACTGAAACACTAACATGTTTCAGTGGAAAACATCTAATGAAGAGAAATTATATTGATGGTAGATATCAAACAGAAGCTTGCTAACCAAAATTGAATTCTTTCCATAACCAAATACCTTAACTAGATCGTGTTTCGCTAAAAAGAGCTAATACTTTCGTGTGGTAAAATTTGGCACCAACTGATGCTTTGTTAACAAATAATCACGTGTCTTTTTCTTTTAACAAGAGGAAAATGAACTTATTTTGCAGCCATTACTATTGCCGCTAAAGCGAATATTTATTGCGGCTAGAATTCTTTTTGTAATAATGTTATCATATAACAGAACCATCAAAAGCAAATAATTTGGGAAAACATGATTTTGTGAGTTAAGATTGAGGTAGTTTTTTGGAAGTGTGAAATATAAATACATTTTCAAGATTCGGAGAATGAGTTGAGCCAGAAGAATGTGGTAGATTTTGGCCTCTTATAACTCGTGCACTACTTGCATCAACCGATGAAGGAATATTAGATCCAGCACACCCTTGTATATCATGAAAATTCAATTCATAGTTGTTTTGCACCACTTGACTAAGAAAGGATTGCATTTCTTCTCTCAACATTTCCTTCATTTCTTCTTTTAGAGAAGTCATTTCATTGGCATGCTTTTGTTTAAGCTTGGTGATTTCATCATCTTTTTTCAGAGAGCTTGTCGTCACCGATCTACCATAGCATCTAACCTGACCAGGCTGCTCCTTTCCAAACACAACCCTAAATGCATCATCTGCTGTTTCTCCGGAACTTTGACGATTCTGAAGTTCACATTGTGAAAAACAAATATTACTGCACATCACTTACAAATCAAGATAGATTGAATACTAAAATAACTTAAACTAACTTTTATTTTTCCTACAAAAGACATGAAATATTTTCAGGGGTTGTTGTAAATGAATATTACTCTGGAAGCTATTAAAAGCAACACTTATAAAAAGGAATGTGATTTAGTTTCAATTTGGCAAATTATTTCTTGGTCATGGTAAATTAAGTTTCTTTCCCAACTATGAATTCTTTTGAGAAACTTCAACTTGTCTTATTTTTTAGTAAAGATCTAGGAGCTCTTAATAATAATATTTTTTTTGAGCTTTCGTTTCAAGTGTCTAAAGAACAGATACTTGCTAAGTAGATTATTTTTTCCATGTACACTAACACACAAAAAAAGTAATACAAGATGGAGTTATCTCCTAAAGAAACTACAATTTCACTAATTTGTCATTCAATTAGTACAAGATATAAGCACCAGACACATATACAAAACTGCATTAGAAATACATGGTTTTAATTAAAAAGATGAAACTTTAATAGACACACATTCAGTTAACGAGAGGGGCTATATAATAACAAGATCTTAACTTGCATCATGATTTACTATTGCAACTTGAGTATCTGTATGAACTTCTTTTCCTTTCTTTGTACGAGTTGCAATAAACATTTCGGACTTTGATGGTTCCTGGTTGTTCTCTTTGGTTGCACGCTACAAATTAAATCAAAAGAAAGTAAAAAATAAATATTAATGTGTTCCGACAAAGAAAATGGAAGTCAAAATTTTCATAAATTGTCAAGTAAATGCTACCAATGTTATGAGTATTCTTCCAAAATTAATAGGTCCCATTCGATGCCTCCATTTTTATTTTTTCTGTTTTCAGAATTTAATTGACACATGGCCTAGCACCAAAAGAATTACATTAGTCAATAAATCAAAAAGAAAAAAAAAAGATATAATGCAACAATATGCTCAAGTGTAGAAATGCACAATTTAGTCTCACTTGGATATCTGAATCCTTCCAATACTCAATCAATTGGCCGAATTGAACTTCTGGTATCTCATTTGGACGATTTTGTAGCATACCTTCATCAGTAGTATTCTTATTGAAATATTTCATCTTAATATTTCTCTTGTGTCGCCTCCAAGCATCACGAAGGTCGGTCATTACCCATTTCTCTCCTTCTGCTGGAATTGTGAACTTGGACTATGCAAAATAACGTATATTTATCTTCACTTAGTAGGAAATATACAAAAAAGTATACATTTAAAAAATTAATTATTCTTACGTTGACATATTCTCACATTCGTTGCTTAATATCTTGTGACACAACATGTCAACTACTATGCACCAAGGTGATAAATCTTGAATTTCTTGCAATTGTTCCTATTAAGTTGGTCAAATCAGACACTATCTTGTCAGTTGGTCCCACTGCTTGTTCTTTGTCAAATGCCACCTCCTCTCTTTTTTCAAACCTTCTTGCATGAATATTCTTACATGTCATTTGCCCTCAAACTCTTTTCTTCTCTGATATCCCTAGATTAATGTAACAACATGACATAAGGAAAAAGTTACAATATGTAAAAGAATTACAAATTTTAAGACATACCATCTGCAGCACTATCAATGTTTACATCCTCATCTCTAACAAACTCGTCGTCACCAACTCCTACTTGTGCATCAAAATTATCCATTTCTATTTCCTGCTCATCAACAACAGGGGATGACATAAATCTAACTTCAGCTACTGGGTGGATATTAGGAGAATTTTCACCACCAACATGTATCCTATATTTTTTTAGAAATTGATTTAGACTCGTCGATGGTAGGACCGAGTTTGTCTTTACTTTTTTACAGTTTTTTTGCTCCTGAATATCAAGTTATTTCTCTCCTTCACCTTGTTTTCTTCCACTCATACCTAAAGTGTTAAGATCTTTCTTTGAAGATGACTGGAGCATAGATGTGTGCACATGTAATTTATTCATTTCTTGCTTTTGAATTTGCTCCTCCAATTGAGCTAACCTCTGTGTACTTGTCCTCTTATTGCAATGTTATGTGAAGTGTTCAGATCTTCCTTGGAAGGCGATTGAATCATTGATTTGTATATAAGCAATTTACTCAGTCCTAACTTTTGAACTGACTCATCGGATTGAGTTAACCTCTATCTTCTTTTTCCTTATGTTATTATAGGCATACTATTCTTTCTTTTAAATCTAAGTGATGCCTACTCTTTCACAGCTTTATCCTTGTGATAACTTACGAGATTTTCTCTCTTAATTTGAAATTTTTCGTCAATTCGGCACTTGATCGATATTGAAAATCAAAACCTATATTCTTCATTGGACTTTCAGCTTTGTTTGGATTCGAAACTTTTTTCTTTAGAGCTGCTGCTTGATTCATCCTTCATACAAAGAAAAAAATTATTTTAGTCTAGCAAATAGTAGAAATACAGAACACTATGCAGAAAATAGACATTTAAGACCAAGCTATCATGAAATATATAATCATTTAACATGCAACATTGTGGCAAAATCCATTGCATAAGGAAGGTAATCAATGAATCTACAATTAGTAAATGTGTAAGAAGGTCACTATATTCATCTTCCATTCTAGTGTGGAGAGAAACAACAGCTCCATTCGCCTTCTTCTACCTTTACTTCCTCAGTGAAAAGATCCACTTTCCAAGTCTCTTCTTCACTGTACAAAGCATCTAATAAAAAATGGAAGCTTTTCTATTTCTTGATGAAGTTGAGTACACATCTTCTTCTGAGAAGAAGAAGATTACTTGTGTTTTCATTTACTTCATAATATTCAAGAAACTAAATAAAGGAATTAAACTCTTATCCTTGTGGCTTCACCTAAGCCTACAACTTATTTGTTGATAGTGTTGAACGGAGCAAAAAAAGGAGACCGTGAAAAAGAAAGAACAAGATATAGACTTCCAGCACTCCCTCTCAAATTAATTTGAGAAATGCTAACTGAAGTACTACATGTTAAAAAATGAAGACTTTAATGCAGCTCTAGAAACATTGAATCCCAGCTAGTACTGCACCTGAATGAGTAACTAAAATCAACGGGGAAAGGTTATATTTTCTTTTCACTTAGCCAATTGAATGATGAAAATTGCTAAGTCAGAGGAACACAAGTTGTTCAATTACAAAAACAAATAGCATATGCTTCATAAATAGATAAATAGAGTTGCAGAGATACATGTTCACTATTTATCTGCTTCCTCAAAATTTCTAGTCAACAATTTTTTTTTAGTTGAATGAGCACCATCTGATAACAATAGAAGAAATATGTATGCTTTAACACATTTTTCAATACTCCAGTAATAAGATTAGTGACAAATTCAGAACTACAATTTCTACTTATTCACGTTCACTTCCTGGGATATTTAGTGCAAAATTAGAGGACTTAAACCTCTTTTCATATATGATGTAATACGGTTCCTCATGTTATGAAACTAAATTGAGGCACACTTAATAGTAACCAAATGCTTTAGAAACCAAAAGTAACACTCTAAAATTATATGAGCACAAAATATATAGGCATAAGGAAGAAACCATCAACAAAAATAAAATTTAATATTAGAACATGACAAAATATACAAGGAAACATCGGCAAGCAAATATCATCCATGCGAGTCTAAAGCAAGTATCTACTAATCTTTAATGTACCTTTAGTCGTTATTCAAGAAAGGGCTGAGCTATATTCTATTTGAATTATAATCAAACTCATAATGTATCCTCAAAATCCAACTCGTCGTCCTCCGATTCAAACTCATCCTCTATTTTAAACTCGTCTTCCGATTCAATTTCAAGTTGTTATACAAGAAATCCTTTTGGAGGCACATCAATAATCATTGCTTGTAAATGATTCCTTATTAAGACAACTTCACCATTATCATCCGGCATAGATGGGCCCGCCAAATGTTCAGACGGCTCATTTTCATAACAGTGTAGGGCATTAGATTCAATTTGGCCACTTATGCTAAACAAGTCTCTCGGGACAGTCTTCATAACATAATGTTTATCTTGATCATATGGATCTTGCACACAGAAGCATTGGTGTGCTTGATATGCTAGAATAAAAGGCTCTTCCTGATAGCATTTCTTATTGAAGTAGACATAAGTAAGGCCTTTAATATCCTCTTCAACCTCATACCAGTCGCACTTAAACAACACAACCTTAAAATGGCCATAGTAGTCTAACTCAACTATATCTATTATTCTGCCATAATAAGTCAAATTCGCATCAACTGGAGTTTTATCCTTTGAGCTTGCAAAGCTTGTCATTAGGACATCTAATGTAACACCACTATTTTGCGTTTTATGCCTTGCATCACGCTGCCTCGTATGGAATCTATATCCATTAATGAGATACCCAGAATATCTTTTGGCAATTGAATTTGGTCCTATGGATAACTGTTTTATCAGGTCGGACACATCCTCATGCAATACACGAGTTTCAAACCATTGAGAGAAGTTTTGACTATGATTTTTAGCGTTGCTCCATCTAGATCCTCGCCTCTGATTATTAACCTCCACCTCATGTTCTCTACAGAACAATAATTTTTATTTGTTAGAAAAAGATAAATAAAATAATTTTAGAATTATTTACGTAAAAGAAAATACTACAAGTGAACAAAATTACCTGATGTATTCTTGAACTTCATCACAATTGTTCAATATGTATGCATATGCCTGACATATTAACCTGTCATCTAAAACAATTGGATCACTCTTTTTGGCTCCTAAAGGGCAGCTTCTTTTAGGGAACAAACTAAAAGTTTGTGTATCATAACTACATTCATCATTATTTCGGGTTCTTCTATTAAATCTGGTTTGTACACTCCATGTAAGTATCTAGAGCACAAAATCAAACACTCTTCAACCAAGTATGCTTCAGCAATAGATCCTTCTGGATGATTTTTGTTGCGAACATATGATTTTAACGTGCACATATATCTTTTAGGAGGATATATCCATCGATTATGAATGGGACCTCTTAATCTTACTTCGTTTGCCAAATGAATAGGCAAACGAATCATTATATCAAAAAAAGTTAGAGGAAAAATTCGCTCCAGTTGATACAATGTTTCTCTAATCTCTATCTCCAAACAATCTAGATCTTCCAGTGCGATAACTTTTTGACATAAACAGCGGAAGAAGGAGATTAGATGAATCAAAGGAATAGTAACATGATCAGGAAGGATGCTTTTAATTGGTATTGGTAACAAGTAATGTAACATGAAATGGGCATCATGCGTCTTATAACCAGATAATTTTCTTTCGTCTAGTTGCACACACCTAGATATATTGGAAGCACTACCATCAAGTAGCTTTGCTGTTTTTAGAACATCACAAAAAACTGATTTCTCTCCATTAGCCATTGAGAATCACGCTTTTACATACTTTGTTCTCTTGACATCCTTTGTATCTTTTGGTTGAAGGTTCTTTCTAATGCCCATCTCTTTTAGATCATAACGAGCATTTGCATGATCTTTTGTCTTGCCAGGAATATCCAAAAGAGTTCCAATTACATTATCAACTATAGTTTTCTCTATGTGCAATACGTCAAGATTGTAACGTAATGAATTGTGCTGCCAATAAGGTAATTCGAAAAAAATTGACTTTTTCTTCCATGGGCCATCATTTGTTCTCTTGATCTTTTTCCCAAAGACATTATTAACATTTTGTAAGTCATTAAACACATCAGTTCCCTTTAACAAAGGCGGAGGAAGCCTAAATTCTATTTTCCCATTGAAAGGCCGTTTGTTGGATCTCCATGGATGATCCATTGGCAGAAAAATACGATGATCCATATAACACATTTTTCGACTATGTTTAAGATAGCAAGAATTAGTGCCATAATTACAACAAGGGCAAGCCAACTTCCCTTTTGTACTCCAACCAGATAACATAGCATATGCAGGGAAGTCACTGATTGTCCACAAAAGAGTTGCTCGCATTTGAAAGGTTTGATTTCTTGAAACATCATATGTTTCCACCCCAGACACCCACAACACATTTAACTCTTCTATTAGTGATTGTAAATAAATGTCAATGTCATTTCCAGGTGACCGCGACCTAGGTATAAGCAAAGAAAGCATACAATATTCTAGCTTCATGCACACCCAAGGAGGCAAATTATACACCATTAAGATAACTACCATGTACTCTGAGATATGCTCATGGTTCGAAATAGATTGAACCCATCACTTGCCAAGCCAAGTCTCAAATTGCGAGAATCTCTTGCAAAATCCGGATGAAAGCTATCAAAGTCTTTCCATGCTTGGGCATCAGCAGACTGCCTTAACTTTCCATCTTTAGAACGCTCCTTATCATGTCACCTTATTGTATCTGTTGTCTTTAACACATGAATAGCCTTTTGTGTCTAGGAATTAATGAAAAATGTCTCAAAGTTTTTGCTAAAACACGATGAGCTTTTTTAGAAGGCTCAACCTCGCTATCTGCTTCAGGATATTTAATATATCTGGAAGCTCCACAAACATGACAATATTCATCAGCCTTATGTTTATTCCTAAATAGCATGCAATCATTGGGACATGCATCGATTTTTCATAATCAAGACCGAGATCCTTAACTATAGACTTGGCATTATTGTAGGATAAAGGAATGTTCAACTTGGGCATCGCCTATTTCAATAACTCTAAAAGAGAAGTGAATGACACGTTACTCCATCCATGTAGACACTTCAACAAATATAGACGAATTGTGAATGATAATCTAGAGAATCCTTTACAACCAGGAAATAGTTCTTGGCTTGCCTCATCAACTAAGTTATAAAATTTATTGGCATCTTCATTTGGACCTTCATAAAGTCCTTCGGCTTGTGCAATATTTCTAAATTGATCATTCAATAAACCATTAATATCATCATATGAGTTCGTTTCATCACTCATGTCACCATCAACATTCATAGGGATTTCCCATTCCTCGTGATTAATCCATCTTGTATAACCTTGAACAAATCCATAGCATATTAGATGATCATATATTACATTCCTTTGAGTCCAACGAATATTGCAACACTTTGCACATGGGCACTGAATTTCCTCGCCTTGAGGATATCTATAAAGTTAAGCAGATTCTAAGAAAGATTGTACCCATCAATATACTCTTTGCTATACCTTGGTAAATCCATCCAATCCTTGGATGGAACATTTGAAACCCTAAAAATCAGATATTAATATCGAATCAACAAATATATAATCATTTAAGTATTATATATACATTACAAATAAATCCTAAAAGTCATGAGTAAGTTTTCAAAATCATATGTAAGGTAAGATGATAAGAATATCTTACCTAGTCATGACACATATGTTAAGCCAAACCTAACTTCAAATATAGATCTTCCTGAGCGTTGACTTTTGTTCTTGAAGAAAAAAAGTAAAATTAATAGGATCCACACAATAAGAAGATAAATCAACAAGATATTCTTTTGGTAGGGAGATAGGATATTACTCAACTGAATACATACTTATTAGTCCAAAACTCACATGTTAAATTGACTTCTTTGAGAATCAAAATCACAATAATTCATGAAAGAATAAGAACAATGAAATCAAAAGAAAAACAGAAAGTGAGCAAACAGTAGTATCAAATTCCTATTCAGCAATATTCATATTTCAGGAAGTGATCAAATAGTAGTGTCAAATTCCTTTTTGCCAATATTCTTGTTAACGTCTTCAAAAAAAGCTCAAACAAGAGAACCAACTTGAGTTAATAATCATTATCTCTAAAACTCAATAAGAAAGCTTCTATAAATTGCAAATTATATACTATTATGCAGTATACACTTCCTGTATCAATGGTTGGTTATACACCCAAGTTTTCATTACAATGGAGAAAGACTATTAACAAGAATAGGAAAGAACATCATGGAGGAGGTTACGGCAATGCGAGAAAAACTGGAGTCATCCATACATCACTGTCAATACAAGAAGGATGAGAGTCCAAACTTAAAACATGGACATCGAGACTGCGCAGTCCTCGTTGGTGTTTATGTCCAGATACAGAGGTCATCATGGGTACAGTAAAACAAATAGGCAATTACATGTACATGACGGGTAACCAAAAGTTCTGGAACAGAACATTTTTTTGGAATACCAAAACTTTAAGATGGGAATTTGGCAAGGTACTATAGTTTGAACACAACTGATAGAAGTAGTGAATGCTATTAGCAAGGAAATCCAAATACATCCAACTACTTCAACATAATAAGAATTTGATTCATACAATGGTTTGTCAACTTAAAGGGAATCCAATCAGCTACAAGAGCAAACAACAGGCCAGGACACTGAATTTTGTGTGCGACGCCAACTGTTTTTACTCTATTTTTGGACAACAGAGGCTCTATCACCAAGCTAATTGAGTATATTCAGGAAGATGGAATCTCAACAAAAATAACAAAAGCATGGAACCAACTCAGATACATGACAATCACTACATAAATACATTCGATGTATACTACTTGGATAGATCAAATTGTACGACTAAGTTTGAGTATCACTAACTCAAATTTGGTTATAGGAAATATGTATTACTCTTACCCAATGGGATCAAAAGACTACATACAATTTGTAATTTGTTTTGGTTTTTAAAATATACAAATAACAACCCTAGGCACTTTGCCTAGTGGAATTTTAAAAAAAATTAGAGACTTTTTCATGAGATGGGTTTTATCTAAATTAATTTTGTAGAGGCTTGTTTCAGTTCTTTCTTTCTTGGAATTAGCAAAGTAAAGAAAACAGAGATTGGTATAATATAACTATTTCTAAAAGCTTGAGAACTTACAATTCTAAAAGCAATAGAAGAGCAGCAACCAAGGATGAAGGAAACGTAGAAAAAGAAGCAGCAATTGACGGTATTGGAGCAGCGGTGGTGTGGAAACTGATTTGCTACTTATTCCTGTAGGGTTTTCCAAGTACTATTTTTGCTATGTATTCCTATAATTTTCCAAGTACTATTCGATCTTGGACTTATGAGAATTGGCGGAATATGAAGTATAATTTTGCTGGGAAATTTTTTGGAATTTTTTTTATAAGGAAGTTTTAGGGTACGCTTGCAAAGGGTGGCATTTAGGATGATAATATAGCAACCGTCCAAAAACATTGCAATATAATTTAAAAGTGTGGCCAAAAGTTTTATATTTAGGCAACACTTAGAAAATGTTATCTTTACAATTAAACGGAACGCTTTATAAGTGTTACCTTAAAACCCATTGCCAAAGACTCTATTCAAAGGTCACGCCTAAAAAGTGTTCCTACATATACTTTTGACAACACTTTATGAGCGTTGCTTAAATTAATGTGGCTATAGGCCTAAAATGTTGTAGTGGAAGAACCAGGTCCTTCTATAATCAGTTTAAGAGAAAAATTGGTCACCACACAAATCACCCCCTCTTGTGTGGTATTGAAGTATAAAACATCATGCATGCCTTGTTTAGGTTTGTGAAATCTACGCACATCTGCCATTTCCCGTTTTTCTTTTTTACCATGACCACATTGGCGACTCATTTGGGGTATTTTGATTCCTGGATGGAACCGTTGGCGAGTAGCTTATCCACTTCATCACTGACGGCCTCGTTGATTGTGGCGTTGAATTTTCTTCTTATTTGCCGCAGTGGTGGGTAGAGTGGGTTAACATTCAACTTGTGTCTGGCTACGTCTTTTGGGATACCAGGCATATCTGCATGGGAGAAGGCGAACAAATCGGCATTGTCAATTAAAAACTTATGAAATTTACCTGGTTCTGAGAGTTTATGTCCGATGTAAGACTTTTTGCTGCTGTCGTTGCTGTCTAGTTGGACGGGATCGAGGTCTTCTACCATTGACTCAGTGGCTTCCACGATGTCGGGGTCCCTGATGACGTCTATTTGTGCGTCGAATCCAGTCCTCGACTTCAGTAATTACTATGCTTTTGAGTCTGTTCCCTTTAGTTGTTGAGTGTATGTGTAATCCTGGCGGATACGATCGCATTCTTAGGTGGTGCGTTGTTCGCCTCGGATGCTGAATATTCCCCACGGAGTAGAGAACTTGAATACTTGATATAGGCTTGACGGGATAGCCCTCATGGTGTGTATCCATGGCTGCCCTATGATGGCATTGTAAGTTGTGTCTTGGTTCATGACGTGGAACGTTATATCTAGGGTAACGCCCCTGGCCAGAACAGGTACTGTTATCTCCCCAGAGGTTCGCTCAACTGCATTGTTAAAACCTGTTAGTATTATGCAACGTGGTACTATCTTGTCTTCGAGTCTCATTTGTGCGAGGACTCAAGGGTGGATAATACACGTGCCGCTTCCGTCGTCTACCATTATTCTTTTCACATCAGTATCTGAAATATGTAAAGTAATAACAAGAGCATCGAAATGGGGGAAAGTCAAACCGTCGGTATCTGACTTATCGAAGATGATACTATCTTCGAGGTCGTCATACCATTCGTGGGTGATCGACCGCTTCAGTTTGTGTATGGTGGTGAACTTTACATGGTTGATCATTGCTTCGTTGCCTCCGCTGTTAATCATTTAGATGGTGCGGGCAGGGGAGGGTGGCTTTGGAGGGCCCTGGTGTTGTTCACGTTCGCGGTCAAATTTGGCTCGTCTATGGTCTCTCATCAGTTCCCTCAGGTGCCCTTGGTTCAACATGTTTACTACCTCTTGCCGTAGAGCTATACAATCCTCGGTTTGGTGACCCCGCTCCTAGTGAAATTCATAGAGGACGTTCGACTTTCGGGTACTTGGGTCGGACTTCATCTTTTGTGGCCACTTCACCTTTGTGCCAAGCTTCTCTAGCATATACACTATTTTTAAAGGGGAAACACAAAAATTATGAGAGGATAACAGTGGAGGCATACCTCTTTCATTTGACTGAGTCCCTGTATGTGGCCTGGAAGGACCTGCCACATGTCGAAGAGACGGTGGGATGGTTGTTCTGATGTAGGGTTGATGTCTTTCTCGGTTGAGACGGGTACCTGACTGATCTCTTCGACCGTCGTTATGATGATCTTTTCTCGACTCCGTTTGAATTGATATCAATTGTTTGGTCGGACCGTTAAGGTCGTCCTCTTCGACTCTCACCTCGGCACAGTAGGCATTGTGGATTATTCTCAAGTGGTAGGAGGGTATTTCATGAGCGTGCTTAATAATTTTCTGGTTGCTCTCGACCCGTTCCTGTTCAACGCATTCTGGAAAACTGCTAGCGCCATCCTTTCTAATACATTTGGTAGGCTCATTCTCACCCTGTTAAACCGGGCGAGGAAGTCCCTGAGTCCTTCGCCAGGCAATTGCCTAACGACGAATATATCATTTACCTGGGTCTCCGCCTTTTTAGCCCCAGCATGGGTGGTGACAAACTTGTTGGCCATTTTTTCGAACGTTGTTATTAACCGTGTCGGCAGTTGTGAATACCAGGTTAGGGCTCCCCCCATTAGGGTTTTGCCGATCTTTTTTAGTAACACTGATGGTACTTGCTCCTTCGAAAGGTCGTTGCCCTTCACCGCTGTGATGTAATGGATGATGTGATCTTCGGGGTCTGTAGTACCGTCGTATATCTTCAAGTACGGTGGCATTTTGAAGGTCTTGGGAATGGCATGTGGAGTCGCTTCCTCGATGTACGGTTGTTTTACGAACCGGTCAATGTCTCGTTTTTGTAACAACTTTGGGACGCCCTATATCTTATCGACCCTTTCTTGATGCTCCCTCATCTGGTCGCAAAGTGCTTTGTTTTCATTTTTCATTTCTTCCATTTTCTTTAGAATGGCTGCAAGTGCATCATTACCTGCATAAACGGTGGTGTAAGTGTTACTTGTTTGAGGGGCGGGCTGCTCGCCAGTGATCGTTATGATATCTGCTTGCGCGGTGTTTCTGCTCTCCCTTTGAACGGGTTTGTCGAGTATGTTGTTTAGAGTGCTTGTCAGCCACTCTTCCAGTAGTTTTTTCACTGCTGGTGGTACTTTCTCAGCTGTAGACGTGGAGGCTCCCCTTTCGCGTGAAGCTGTTACGCTTTCATGAGGGAGGAGGGGGTGAATCACTCCGCCTGGGCGTAGCGCTTGACGTCATGTTCTCGTTATCTTCCCTGCCATCTTCGTTGATGGTGTTCAAAATGTTGGTAGGGACGCATGCTATTGCTTTCAGTCTTGCATCTCTTTTTCCTACCATCGTTAGTTTGTGCAAACGAAGAAGAGATGGCTATTTTTTTTTATCTAGAAGGAACTAAAATCTCCCCACAGACGGTGCCAAATTGTTTGACCAAAAAAGTATTGAACCTTTTAGTTAAACCAATCAATGATGAGTTAAAGGGAGAGCTTTAGTCGAACTTAATAAATTCTAGACCGAATGCAACAGAATACTTGTGAGACGAGTAGTGCTCAAGAACATTAAATAGCAGATTTAATGCTTGATTAGCAGTGAATATTATAGCATGAATATGTAATAGATGTAGATAATGACAATAAATGTGATAAGAAAGGATCTACCACCCAATTATTGTATGATTGGAATGTTCCTTTCTTTTGTCAGCGACGTGAAAATAGAATAACATGTGCTTGAATAATATAATCAGTGAACAAGACAACTTTTGTATATTCTCTTCAGTCAACCTTTACAATGTGTTTTTCTCAAAAAGTCAAGATCCCCCTTTTATTCTCTTTCTCTTCTTATTTATAGGGAACATTTCCGAAAAATCCTAAAAAGTACAGCATAAATAATATCCCAAGGAATATTCTTTATGTCTATCTTTGAACCTATTCTATCGTTATTTCTTCATCTTGGCTATCCGTTTTTGGCACCGGCCTATTTAAGAGCGACCTTTAATCTTCACACCATGGTTGACTCCGTCCTTTGCCCTATTTATCCGTTACTGCCAAGTTGCCAAATTTGGACTTATACAACATGTAGATAGAACTTTTACATGAGAAGATTAAAGAAGGTGGGGTTAGAAATGGAGAGAGACGTTGCTTCATCGCAAAGTATAATGATTAATGCATCTGGTCTCACTTGATGATCATCCCATGGCATCTCACTCTCTCTAAATCTATTTCTATCTCTTTTACTGACACAGACACAAGCACCACAAGCACCAACATGTGGAACTCTCTGAAAAGCATCTTTCTTTTTGCTGTTGTTAGAGTGAAAACCACGTTTGGGATGTTGCGCATTTTCTATCCCCGCCCATATCTGCTCTATAAAATGGCTATTAACGCCGTTGCCGTAGCATCTTCTAAACCCTTCACCTTACAGTCTGGGCCATCAGAAATTATCCTATTTTATGGAGCTTCTTCTTTCTGCCATACCTTATTTGATCATCTCCATTGGTGTAATTCTAGAACTAAACTTAGCTTTTAGAATTTTGCTTTATCAACACGTGATGAAGAAAGCACCTTATGATAACAAAGTCTACAATAATATAAGTACCGTCATTGCAATTGTAACTCACTTTACCCAGCAGCAACAAAAAATCCACTATAATCTCATAAGTGGAGACTACACGAAGATCTAGTAGTGTACGTATACATATCCTTACCCTTACTTTGTGAAGATAGAGAAACTGTTTCTGATAAACCCTTGACTCAAGCAAAACACAGTGATAGCAATGTTTAAAAGAAGTGCAGTGGTAAAAAAATCATAAAAGAAATAGTAACAACATCAAGATATTAAAATAACTGAAGCAAAAGAAATATTATGTAGTATTAGATGACTAAGAATGGGATAATACGGGAATAAATTTGCTTCTGTCATTGAATAGCACATCATATAAATCACACCATTGGTTGAGTAATTGCAAATGGAAAATCATTGTTAGTCGCTCTAAAAGATACTTGAAATTTAACGAAATCTTTGTCAGATCAGACCCAGATTACCAAGTACTCATGTGCGAACGTAGCTCGTATAATG